TGTGTACAGTACCTATAGATATTATATCACGCGGGAGGTCGTGCAGTGGCCGGTGGCGACGGAGATACGCGTGCCGATACGGCGGTATTGTGGTAAGTGTTGACTATGTTGTATAATAGGAAAAATTCCGGAAATGAAGATGTTAGTAATAATAATAACAATATTATCATTAATCTCTCACAGAAATCGATCGTGTTATTGGTATTTCAACTGCAATAAATAATAATTTTTAGTTGTTTAACAAGGGTTTTGATTCAAGACGTTTATAAATTGTACGAGTAGTATTTAGGAACAGTTATAGTGGAATTTGGAGGAGGGACTTTGACAGATGTCATTAGCTAACATTTCCGGTCAGAATTTAACAGAAATTCTCACATAGTTAAAATTTCATTATTTTTTTAAAGTTATAATGCAAATAATATAATAAAATACATGAAATGAACTTAATAATATTTTTTAAGTTATCATTAAGCAAAATATGATAAATTCTTAAAATTTCAAAGGAAATTGAATAAAGTTATCTCGCATGTAAGCTAAATCATTTTTGTTAGTATCACTTTCAAATAAAATTATAGAATTTTTAAATTTCTTTTTTCGTAAACAGAATCACTGATTTTATTAGATAGAAATCAAGAACGAAATAATTTTTTTTTTTAATTTAGCTTTTTACATGACTTTTGTTTAAATATAGATACTGTAAACACGCATTTGTAGTGTTTAAAGTTTTAATATACAAAAAAATATAGAACATGTGTATCAATTCGAGGCAATTTGTAGATATTACTAATTAAAAAAACATTACATAAATACTTCACCAATGCATAAAAATTCTAGTCCTACTGGCTGCTCGTTAACATGTGGGTATAATTTAATAACCGTGAATTCAGGTATAGAAATTGATAATCATTGATTTTATTGCGCATATGACATAATTGGGTGGTCCTTGAGAGTAAAATACATTTTTGATGAAGTATATATTTAAAGATGCTATTGTAATAAAATGGTTTTCGGCTCCAGAAAAATTGCATTGAACTTTTGATGAATAATTTATATATTACATAAATTATTAGAAAGAATACTGGAATTAATACATAAAATAAGATACCTATAAAAAGCTATATAGTACTTATTATACAGTTACAAGATTTGAACCATATGAATTCGCATACTGGTTTCATGTAGAGGTTTTTAACACTTTATACAGGATGTACATACCTTAACCATGTTAAACATAGGCTTTCGATTGAGTATGTAGATACTTTTATTTTCTTGAAATGTCAATAAAAACCTAAAATAGTGCTTAAAATATAAAAATAGCTCACTTTTAACATGCAATAAGTTTGTATTTTGGTTACCGGAATCAGATTCATAATTCGCTTGGCTCTCTAAGACCTCTCAAAACACATACGAAAATGCTACAAAAATGTCAATAGTCATAATATTATTAATTTTCGTATATTATAATAATATGATACATTATTGCTTAATGGATGTTTTCAATATTCAATTTGAGCGTTTATTATACTTATATAATATATAGTACTAAATACATAAAAATAGTTAATTTCTTGCAATGCAATAGCTTAATTAAAAAACAATTAACTTCGTTGCCAATTTGAAATTGTAGATACAAACACTCATTTCCATAAATGCTTGTTTATATATTTAATCAAACCTATTGTATGGGTGTGAAGGTCATTTCACTCAATTCAATTTACACATTATTTACTTAATGTCGACAAGTATTTTTTTATAAATAATTTCATCAATTTAAATGGAATTTATTTTTCTTTATATTAAAATAAAAATAATAAACGCAGAAAAGCGATGATTAAAATAAAAGCTACATTTAGTCTTTACTTCTACGTAGAAATTGTTCATTTAATATTTGATTAATTTTCTTAAAAAATAATAATAATAATAATAAACAAATAAACAAACAAGAAACAAGTAAGCAAAACAAAGTTCTTATTTTAATAAACGTTTTAAAATTATAATGTGATGTTTAAATACAACATGATTTGTTTATAATTATAAAATTGAGGATATGATTAAGAGGACGCCGCACCCACACGTGTTGTTACTGTCTTACATACATACAGCTGAGTTATAGCCATATAAGATATTGAAACTTTAAAATGCTCATAACTCACTTTAAAATTATAATATTAACAAAAGTCTATGTCATTGCCTAGATAAAATTCTTACATTTAAGTTTGATAATAGGTAAATTTACTCTAATATTAAAGCTAACAACATAAAATGGATTCTGCTGAACGAAAATTTGCTATGTTGTATGTATGTAAGACAGAGATAACACATGCGGGTGCGGCGTCCTCTTAAGATTGCATATTATCATGTTATGAGTGAAATGATAAAAATTCATCTTGAGATTGAATATCTATAATATCATGTAAATTATTATGTGATTTAAGAATGTTTACGGTGAATTCTTTTCATGGGCAAATAAGTTATAACACATTTAATTTCACGCTCTTTTGTCACGAGAGGTTGGGATAAACGAACAATATTCATTGCAATTTAATTTGTATATTGATATACAAAGAAACAATTTTTTTTTTATCACGAGATTACATGATATCACCCATTTGCGCTAAAAAAAAAAAATAAATTCTTTTTGAGTCCCATCTGTAAAAAATAAAAAGGAACATTTGTTCCGACCACCCATTTGCGCCAAATTTACCTATGCTGTACATGATTTTACATAATAATAATAATAAATTTAATATGTATATATTAACATTATAATAGTTATTAATACATTTTTAATTAAAACCACCAATAATTGTGAATCTTTTCACGCTTACATAAATACATCATCCAAAGTAATAGATACATATAAAAACAAAAAATTAACGCGTTATGTATATGTAAAAATAGTTGCATTTAACTAAAATAAAGTTTAGGTTATTTAAAAAAATAAATGAATATGATTAATCATTTATTGAAAACAATTAAATATATATTATTTAATTCTACGAAGTAGAAAAAACGTGTTTGAGAAAATAAATCTGATAATTTTTTGTTATTTCTAAAAAATAAGTTTTATCATCTATTATTATTCTTAGGTAATTTATAATTTGAAAACAATTTAAACAATTAATTATTATTATTATGTAAATTTACTGCACAAAGCTGGTAAATTTGGCATACATAGGATGTCGGAAAAAAATATTTTTATTTTTTATTTTGGCAAATTCAAAATTAATTAATTATTTGGTGCAACAGACAATTTTATTCCTTTAATATGAACGTAAATTATCTAAGAAAATTCTTGTCACAATATTCATAGGCAAGGGCTCGTCGAGTGATGGACCGTTTAATTATAATATAATATTATTTTACTCGTAATAATATTCTCTATGCGGCGTTGAATGAAAACTTGTTAACGACACACTACCTACATACATTTTATATACTTTGATAAGCCCTCTTCGGAGATATTATTTTTGGGAGAGTGATCTTGTTTCGATCGTTTATTCCAAAGGAACGCTCCTTGTGTTCTTGTGTGAAACGCACACATGTGCGTGTGTATGTACGTTTTATTATAGTGTTTACGCTACCTGAATTGGATTTGACGTGATTCTTGTTGACGTATATCTGTATATAATGACAGTTATACAATAGAGACGAGGGTTTATAAATCGCGAAGCGTACGACACATTATGGGCGCGCGTGATTACGTGAACAATAAACATAAACCATCTTCACCGACAGAGACCGACGGCGATAGTTGTGTCGCATCGTCATCGATATAATATAAAATATTTAATATCATATAATATTGTAGGTAACCTAACCTAACCACTCTGTGGCGGATCGTTAATACGTTGCTACAAATAAACAACCACCAGATTAGATTTTTATTGACTCACTTAGATTTGGAATGGTCAAGATTGCAGTGTTATAACTTATAAAAAGTGGTTCATACTTTCATTTATTTGTTATTTTATGCGATTGTATGACGGATTTAACAAATCCTATACTGATGGTGTAGCGTCTTCTTATATCATTAATACAATACTCACGTTTGATTTTCAATTGAAAATAAAGGTACTGCAAGAAACATTTAGACATTTTTTAAACTTACATACCGTACAAATGTTGTTAGATTAAGGGTGTAAAGGTTCATCAAATTACAGTTTCGTGCACTTTTAAACGATTCTTTAATCAAGCTCTGCTACACAGTCTAAATCGTAAACATGACATATTTATTAGTAAAAGCTGAACGATAAAAATAATCTTGATCGTAAAAGATATTTTTAAATAATTGACAACAATAGTCGGTCATTTCCGTATAATCTCTTAATTTTAATAAATTCATTTTTTTTAATTATTTAACCATTTCAATCATATGTAAACAAAACAAATTGCATTTCTTTTCCGAAGTAGTTTTTTATAATATGTTTAATATATATATATAGTTGTTTGTGCACAAGAGTGAATAAAAAGAAGGGATCGATTCCCTGTTGGCAAATCGTTATTGGATAGGTATACGGAATCGTCCGAAAACGATGTTAAAAAAAAAACAAAAACCAGGAAAAGATGAGCGCACATACAATTTTACGTTTTCTGCGAAAAATCCATTAATTTACGCCTGAAATTCAAAAATATAAAAATAAATAAATATTTATCGATGAATATTTGTTCTGGGTAGATTGATTTCGTGGATTTAAAATATATACCGCTAATATAATGTATAAAATATGCATCAGTGTGTCATGTGTAATATATTATACCGTTATGTATAAATGAAAAGCATGAATATCTCAAAATGAACCACTCAAATATCTAATTAAAAAAAAAACTTTAAACAAAAATTCTTTATTTTAACGGAAAATAAACGTTATCCATTTTAATTGTTATACGTATAAAATATACATATAATAATATAAAATTTGTTAATATGTATGAATATTGTAATTTTTTATTATTTTAATAGTAACTAATTGAAATATTAATTCAATTTCTCATTTCAGAGTACGGATTTGAAATTTAAAAAAATACACAAATGTACGTATTATCGAACATTCAGACCGTATATACTTGAAGATGATTGGGTGTCCTTTGGTCCATTAAGAAAATTGGTGAAAATATCATTTCAATACACTTGTAGGAATAGCATATAGGTATAGTAACAGATCAGTGTTTAATTATTTTTATCAATACATTAACTTTAAGTTTTAATCAGTGGTATACACAGAAAAAATTCTAAAAGAATTTTTATGTAAGTATTAATGATTGTCTGGGTCGTGAAATTGAATATATTTGAGTAAAAGAGGTACCGTCAGTTGATAGTATGATATTGGTTATGGTAAAATTGGCCGTTTTCAAATTAAAATATATTTTTTAAATTACTATTAATATCAAGAAAAAAAATACATGACAAAAGTTATTATAAATCATGAAAAAACAGTAGATAAGTGTGAAAATAATTATAAGTTATAAGCTAACTTATGTAATGTTGGTATTTATTATATAATTGTGTATTTTATGACACCGTTTTTTCGTGTCATTTCAATATTTTACAATATAATATATATGTATAGATTATAGATATTATATTATGTTTATAAGATGAGACTTAATTACTCAGGGATTTTTAGTACAAATATTTGCTTCAGTTTCCTCACATGAATAACTCGTATACTTCTTTTACAAATCAGTCAGATTACGAAAATGTATTTTATTTTATTTTTAAGTTGAAGACTTTATCTGCATCGGATTGTATTCCGGTTTTAAAAACGTCATTTTTAGATATTGTATTATAAACTTAATACGAATGGTTAAAAAAAAAATATAATTATATTTTATGGGAAATGTTCATTTTTGTAAGGTAATTTTTGATCATTAAAGTTGTTTAATTTAATTTTTCTGTACGGCTTATTGTAATATTTTGTGGGAAGTATAGTTTATCTAATTATCTACATAATAGATGCTATCAAAAATTATATTTTATCAACAGTAAATAACAAGGTAGTTAAAAACTTTCTACTTATAAGTTCAAAATTATTATTTTTCTCTGATGGTGGTATGGTGGTATAGCTATTGAATGGGTTTTAAATTATATATATTTATTTTTGTATATAGAAGAAAGCCTAATTATTTTATTTATTTAATAAGTGATAAACTATATACTAATTTTATTTACTCTTAAGTTAGTGTTAATTAGTTTGTTTTGGAAAATACCTTGCCAGTATACAATGAAGTTGTTTTATTAGTTAAATCAAAAAAATAAGATAAAAATTAAATTAATTTAAATTTTAGAAGTTACACTGTCCAATTCAGTTATAAATATATAGATTTATGATTACGTCATAAGTATATTAATATTCTGTTAATGAAAAAACAAAAAGTTATTGATATAACATCAAATTAATAAATGAATAACTAATGTGAACAGTATTCACAAAACGCTCACTCAGACATATTATTTTTTGGTTTAACAGTAATTTTTATAATATTATTAAAAGTGACTTTGTATACTACGTTTGTATCTTTGTTACCCAATTTTTTGGCAAGTAACTAACCTTAGAAATCATTTGAGTATTTAAATTATGCTTATAACTTATATAACATTATACTAAACATCTATAAGTTATAAATGCTATAAAATATCCATACTCAAAAAATAGGACTGAAAAAATATTGTGTAAAGTCTTGTCTTTTAATAGAAAAATAGCACGATATTATCCCGCCTAGGACTTATATCGGTTACTCTATAAATTCGATCACCAATACAGCGGTCGGGCGTGTGTGTAATTTCAGTCTCGTTGTAACAACTATATCATTGAAGGTCTTAACATAAGTATAATATATAAAATATTGTGGTATAATATGTGCGCGACAATAACATACATTATTATGAGAAAAACGGCGGCGACAAATCGTTTTTTTTTAACCACCGCCGTGACGCGGGTGTTGTATACAATGATATTCCCAATCCGGTTTTGCGTGTGTGTGTGTGTGTGTGTGTGTTTTTTGTGCTCTATGAGATGTGTGGTTTTATTTTTATTTTATTTTTTTTAATCACTTCCGTTGTCGATTTACATCAGTCCGCTCGGTACAATGTCTATTTACTCGGCGCATACATTTATATATAGGATTGAAAATAATGACAATAATTGTCCTTTTTAGCACACACAAACACGCGGTCGAGTGCCGGGGTTTTAATTAAAATAAAAAAACGGTCTGAAAACAGATTGAAAAAAAAAACAAAATAATGGACACGATGACAATACTCTCCCCCCACCTCTATCGTATACATACACCCTCGTCGTACGTACGTGTGTCACGTCAGCGACCGCGAAGGGTTCGCGGGGGCGGACAAAGAGGTGTGTATGGGTGTAGGCGAGGCGACGACAACGACGACGACTGCGATTCTCTGATTCCGATTCCGATTCCGATTCCCGACTCCGGTCGACGATGACGATAAAAACATATCACACGCGAGTGGACCCTCGGGACACTTCATAAGCAGAAACGAAATATTTTAATGCACGTCCCCGTCACCGTTGCGGTTAAATAGAATTTCGACCCTTATTTTCTTCTTCTTCCTTCTCCTCCACTCGCCTATTCGCCGTTTTCTGCGGGCCCAATCCCTCGGGCCAACGCACTTAATCGGGTAAATGCGATTATTTTTGACATGCGGTGACAGCGGCGGCGGCTCATTACGTCTACCGTATAAACGAGAGCGTTGCGCGCGCGAGCGGGGCGACTACAAATCATTACGACTAACGCGTACACGACATATCATCATCATATTATTTTTATTATTATTATAGCAGCGGATATACTTTTATACGTGATATTATTATTATTGTATTTCAATATTTTCGTCATCGCCAACCCGCGCGCAGATGAACGAATAATAGTATAATGTTTTCGATTTGCCCGAAATATATATGTTATTAATATGTTACGCGCGGTCTCTCCCCCATAAAACAATACACGCGTGCACGACACACACGCACACACATAAAATATTGTACATGTTTATATGTATGTATATACCTACCACCTACCCGTAACGATAATAATCATTCATCCAATTTTCGTGCGCTGCTTACAAATCTTTCGTCGGTCTCCGTGTTTTTCCATTACACCATTTAATGCGCACTTGTTAGATAACATAATAATAATAATATTTATATTTATATTACGCACGAGTTCAGAAATACTTACCCGCGTATGATATGTAGTTCGACTTTCAATCAGAATTTCTATATTCCGACGGGGTTGCGATTCTGACGCTGTATATCATAATAATATAATCGTTCATTACAATCGGCTGACGTTGTGGTGACGATATCACGATTAATCATAATATAAATCGCGTGTAGACTTTGGTCGCAGGAAATGCGACTGATAAAATATGCTTCTTAAATAACTAAATAAAATATGGTGATGGTCATACTATAGTTTTAAAATATTTTTTATTATTAGTGTTCCTAAAAATAATAGACCTTTTTTTTTAACAATATTTGTCTATGTTTAAAAATAAACATATTATATTTTAGAAAAACAGAATATAATATTTATTTTATTTGAATAAAGATGACGTGCTTATTGCAAAGGATTGAATTTAATAATTTTTTGTCACAAAATTAAGCTGTAAATATTTCATTTTATTTTCTTTAAAAAGTGTTATTTTGGGACTTTGTTTATTTATACACTTTAAAAAAAAGTGACTGTTCCCAAGCCGTAGAAAACTTATGCAAACGTATATTCTGCATACTTAATGCGCACACGCTTTGTCTCGAATGTTGTACTATTATTTTTATCGCTGTTTGTTATTATTTTATGATGTAATGCGATGCAATTAGTAAATAGAATTATGTACGTATTACGAGATTAAAATTAACAAAATTTAACGATGCGAAAAATGTGTTAAGGATAAAATATATGGTTTATAATGTATACAATATAATATAGAAATTTAGCTACATGGAAAATACAAAAAATAAAATGACTTTATTACAAAGTAAGATTATTTTTTCGATAACAGATATGTAAAAAAAAGTTATTATGTTTGAAAAACATTTAAATAACATTTGTAATATAATAATGTTTTTTTTTTTTATATATATATATATATTAGGAATTAAATATCGAAAAAATAAAAACTTTTTTTTCATGGTAAAAGTTATCCTATTTTTATTGGAAAATTTTTTTTTTTTTAAATTAATATTATTACTTTAGTAGTATTTCTAGCCCACATAAAAAACGTGTAATTTTCATTAAAAAATAAATGGATGTAACTGAAGAAATTTTGTGACCATATTAATTTTTGGAACACAAAATATTCATTTTAATTTCAATATGTGATTATTACTATAGCAGAGATATTCAACGCGCGACCTCAATAGACTATAAATCAATTAATAAGTTATGAAAAAATTGTATATTTTATATATAAAACTAAAAATTAAATCAAGGCATTTATATTGATTTAATAACTAGTAAACAACATGATATTGTTATTTATAAAGATTTTTTTTTAAAAGTGAACTTTTTGCTGTTATTATAATAACATTTTCAGTTAATTGTCATAACTTTGATTTATCCGCATATTAATTTAATGTTTTCACACAAGAAGCAATTTCAAATGTGTTTTTTACTATTTTATTTATTTATTCTCATTTTAATTGTAAATAAATATATTTTTTCCCTTGTAATCATAATTAAAATGTATTATTTTAAAAATATTTCTATTCATTTAAAAACACATTGCTATTTTTTGTTAAACGTTTAAGTAATTAAGTTCTATTTATCGACTTTTCGGTATCTAACTGGCGGTAAAAATTTCATGAGTAAACAGGATACTATTATTCTTACGGCGCCCGGCGTAGCGTTCGAATTAAAAAACAATTAGGAGGTATACTTACTCTTAGAAATAGATATGTTCGTTGTAGTATTTTTTAATTATGCACAATACAATATATTATCTAAGCTTAAAAAATAAATTACCATTCATTTAAATAATCATCAGTTCTGCATATAAACGAATTGTCTAGATAATTATACCACGCTAGAATAGTTACAATAGTTTTTACATTTAATAATATGTATGGCTTAATAATTTTATGTATCATACTATTAATAATAGCTATGGGTTAACAGTATACAG